TGTTGGGTTAACTCATCACCTAGTAGTTTTTTGTGGGGCTTTTTGGCTTGTTTTTTTGGCTTGTTTTTGTGTTTTAGCATGAACTAGTTTAACAGACTAACTGGCTTGAAAAAAAAATTGGAATTCAAAGTATGTATATTATGATGTCAAAAACGAAAGGTGAACATGATAGCTGGTTTCAAATATTTGAAAAACTGCCATATGAAAGATATTATCTGTTACCTATGTTGCTCAAAGAGAGCGTATTAGAGTCAATGAGTAAAGTGAGAGAAGGCAGATTTTCAGTTCAAAATAAGGAAGAACTGCAAATAAATAAATGGAGTTGTCTAAATTGAATTGGGCTACCTTGCACTTCCCCATCATTGAAAATGTTACAGTGAGAACTGAATGACCTGCATGTTCAATCTCTCACTAAATACTCAGGTATGTTAACACTGGTGGGAGAGGAGACAAAAGACACCCCTCCCCCTCCCCCGCCCCCGCAGAGAAAAGACACCCCCCCACACACCCCGCTGGTGGGGAGGTGAATCACTGAGGCTTCTCCTTTGACCCCATTTCTACTGCTAGGACATCTTCTACTCCCTCATGCTTTAACCCTGACTCCTCTCTTCCTGTTTCCTTCTACATCCAGAAGGTCTTACCCTGTACCAGCATAGCAAGCACTTAGACAGTTATAGATGAAAAGGATACATTTATGTCTCTTACCCTTAGTCTGTCCTTTACAACCTGGTTGGTACCATGTCAAGTCTCCTCCCCATCCTCTCCTACTTTATCCCTACTACCTCTCCAGTCACTCCTTTCCTGTGTCCTTTACAGGCTCATTCACCTCTAACTCACCACTAAGAATCAGGGTTCCTGAGGCTCAGTCCGAAGACTTCTCTTCTTACTCCACAGTCTGTGTAAGTACTCTCTTCTGGGCCCATGGCTTCAACCTGAAAATTTCCAATTTTTTCCCTACCCCTGATTTTCTCCTCTATGAACTAGAGAGCTGTGTATCTAACTGCCGGTTTGAGATCTCCTCTTGGCTGTCTCAAGGGCATCTCCAATTCGACCTGTCTAAAACATCAGGTCTGCCCCTTCTCAGCACCTGAAACCAGGCTCTCTCCTATCATTCTTGTGTGGGCGAAAGGTAGTGCCATCTACCCAGATCCATGGAGGAGTAACTTATCTCCCATTCTCTCAACACCTGCAAATTCAACCCAATACTACAGTGATTGGTTCTTAAATCTCTTGGTCTTAGACCCCCTTTACACTTTAAAAATTGAGGACACTAAAGAGCTTTTATTTATGTGGGTTATATCACTTAATATTCACTGTATTAGAAATTAAAGCTCGGAAATTTTAAAAATACAATAATAAACAGGCACACACTTTATTCACCATTGGAGCAATGACATCACCTCAGGCGTGTAATCCATGGAAAACTCATGAGAGAATGAATGAAAAGGCAAACCATATCTTAGCATTATTATGAAACCAGTTTTGACCTTGCAGACCCCCTGAAAGGACCTCAGAGGGACCACGCCGGAGTCCTCAGACCACACATTGGGAAGCACCACAATGCCATCTTCTGTCAGTTTTACCTTGTAAATGTCTCGAATCAACCTGCTCCTTCCTCTCTCCACTATTGTCACTGGCCTAATCCAAACTTCTGTCTTCTTTCGCTTGGACCACTACATTAGCCTAATGTGGTTCCCTTGGATCCATTCTTGCCTCACTCCAATCTATTCTCCACATTGTAGCTGGAGTAATTCAAAATACAAATCTTAATATGCCCTCTTCACTTAAAAACCCTAAAGTGGATTTTCACTGCTTTCAACATAAAGATCAAAATCTTCATCACAACCCACAAGGCTCTGCCTCCCTCCCCAGTCTCAGCCTGTCCTCCCTTCCCTTGTTCTCAGCTCTCCAGCCCTCAGGGCCTCTTTCTGTTTCTCAAACACACAATACTCCCTCAGCCATCAGGCTCTCCCTGCCTGGAACTCTCTTCCCTGTATCTCCATCTCCTCTGCATAACTCTCATTCATGCTCTAGGTCATAGCCTAAGGCTTCCTGGCCCCCAAATCAGGTCACATCCCTCTGTTATACATGCTCATAGCACCACACACCTTTTAGTCACAGCCTATAATTATATATTTATTGCATTATGACAAGTAAATGTCTATCTTCCCACGGGTCTATAAGGGCAACACGGACAGGAGCTTTTTTTTTTTTTTGCTTCTCATGTTTCTGGCACACAGTAGATACTTTGTTAACTATTTCTGGAATGAATAAATGAATGAATAAATAAGAATGCAGTTTGATAGGGTAGGG